GACTAGAAAGCAATAGATTTCTTGCTTTTGCCACAAATTCCCCCAGCTGTGAGCCTTCCAACCTTCTAAGTATTCCTTTATATGTAGTTCAGAGTTCTGGGACCATCCCCTGAGCCTGCTTGTTCAGGTATTCTGTGTTGTTGTTGTTGGCAAAGCTCTCTGCTATACGTCCACCCGATCCGCCATCTTGTTTGTTCTCTCGAGTTCTGTGTATTTTTAATATCCATTGTGACAGCCTTCAAGAAGCCGTGGTGAGGCAATGGTTAAGTTCTCAGCTGGTTGGTAGTTGAAACCCACTAGCAGCTCCACAGTGGGAAAGACCTGGTGATTTGATCCTGTGAAGATTGTTGTTGGTAGTTAAGTGCCGTCGAGTCGGTTCCAACCCATAGCGACCCTGTATAGGGTTTCTGAGGAGCAGTTGGTGAGCTTGAACCACTGAACTTGCAGTTCAAACGACTTGGCAGCCTGGCACATTACCCCACAGTTCCACACCAGGACGCCAGCCTAGGAAATACTATGGGACAGTTACAGTTTGTTGAGTGGCAGTCCTGGTATGGCATGGTAGGATAAGCACTGGACCGCAAGGCTGGCAGTTGAAACTCATCAGCCGCTCCTTGGAAACACTATACAGGGTCTCTATGAGTCGAAACCAACTCAATGGCATTAAGCAACAGCAACTCTGTTGCATAATGTTGCTTTGAGCCAGATCAAGCACTGGTGGCACAGTGATTAAAACTTCGAACTAAAAGGTCAGCAGTTCAAACCTGCCAGGCTCTCCATTGGAGACAGATGTGACAGTGTGCTAATATATAGATTTACAGCCTCTGAAATCCTCTAGGGCAGTTCTGCTCTGTCCTAACAGACTGGACGGTACACAGCAACAACAAGTCTCCAGCCAAATGGAACTGCCTACCTGGGTGATCACAGATAGCTTCTTCAGGTACTAGTCATTGGTTTTGCTAGTGGTCTTGTTTACAAGTTGCGTACATTTTGTCTTAACCTTTTTTACCTTTATTTTTCTTATTATTGTTAGTTACCATTAAGTTCCAACTCATGAGGACCATATGTGTGCAGATTAGAGTCAGACTCCATAGTATTTTAAATACTGTTATCTTCCAAAAGCAAATAACCAGTCCTTACATTCAAAATGCCTTTTGGTGGGTTTGAACCATTAACTTTTTGGTTAGTCCAGTGCTTAACAATTTGTGCCACTTAGGGATACCCTGTTACTTTTAATAATTTGAGCATTTTTAGTAAAAATATCTTATTATAGTCTCAATGCCAGTACTGCAAATTGCTCTATAAAATTATTATGCTTAAGTTTAATTCCCACAGTTTGAGTTATATTTCTCCACATCCTCAACAATACTCAGTAGTGTCAATTTTTTGAATTTCTGCAATTCTGATATTACTTAAATGATATCTCATTATTTAGATTAGCATTTACTAATTACTAGTGGATTTGAACATCTTTATAAGCCATTTAGGGAACACAGTGGCACTCTAAGTATGATTAATTAGCACCAGACTGCAAACCACAAAGTCTGCAGTCCAAGCCCACCAGTTGCTCATGAGAGAAAGATGAGGCTTTCTGCTCCTGCAAAGATTTAAAGTCATGGAAACATAGTACTCTGTATGAGTCAGAAGCAACTCTGCAGCGCTTAACAACAAAATAAGTCATTTGCATTTCTTTACCTGAGAATTGATTGTTCTGCTCATTTTCACTTGGGCCATTCTTCTTTTCTTCCTGATTTGTACGAGTTTCTCATATATTCTAGATATCAAGCCTTTGTCAGTCAGTTATATGAGTTGCAGACATTTTCTTCTGAATGGGGACTGATCCTTTAAAAGTCTTTTTTTTTTTAAATTCTTTTGTCTTTCTTTTTGGCCTTTTTTCTTCTTTTTCTTCCTTCCTGCTTCTTTTTTCTGTGCTTCCTTCCTTTGCTCTCTTCTCCTTTATAGTTTAGTTTTTGTACCTTTTTTAAGAGTCCTTCCCTACCCTGATGTAGTGAAAGTTTTTGTCTTAAGAATTCACTTATAAGTCTTAGATATGCTTACAGTTTGGTTTTTACATTTAGGTCATTAGTTCATCTGAAATTTTACTTGTGTATTTAGATTGTTGTTAAGTGCTGTTGAGTTGGTTCTGATTCATAGCGACCCCATATAGCAGCTGGATCTAATTATACCTATTTTCAATATATAAATAACTAGTTTAACATATTTATTGAAAAGGTTTTTCCCTCAGTAAATTCCCACATCTCTTCTATCATGTATTCCTTATTAATACCATTCTGTTTTAGTTATTGTTGCTTTATAAGCTTGATATATTTCCCTTATTTGTCTTCAAAACAGTTTTGTCTATTCTGGATCATTTAATGGCGTAACTGCTTGTGCCACCCAGTAACTCCTCAGCTGTGACTGAAAGAATTCTTTCAGTAGTGCATAGATAGTTGAACATTAGAAATGATCCCATTTTGTGATTTTTCCAATTTGGGGCATAAAGTTGTTCATAGTGCTGTTTTTGGTATCCTTCTTGTATCTTTGTCATTTTCCCTTTGTTAGCAATATTCATTCCTTCTTTCTATTTTGTCATTCTTGCCAATCTTGTATATTTTATTATTATTATCAGAGGAACTTTTCTAATTCTTCCTCTCAAATGCTTTTTGTTTGGGAATGCGTTATTTTTTTCAGTGTTTGTTTTGATTAAACCAGCTTTTAACCCAGCTATTTCTCGGGATATGTTAAAATATGTTTCTGAAAACTTTGCTAACTCTCCTATTTAAAAAACTGTCTAAGGCCACTTATCTTTTAAGTGTAATTTGGTGCCTGAAGCAGAACAGCAGACTGTTTTCCATTTCGTTCTCTTATACTTTTTGCTTTATAGTTTCTTTTCCCCCTCTACTATTATGCCTTTTCTATTCTCTCTCGCTTCTATTGTCTAGATTATATGTAGTTGCTTGTTGATTTTATCTTCTTTCTTTAAAATTGTTTAGTCCCTCTATGCAGTAGATCGTCTATTAAAAATCACATGTTTAAAGACTAATATTTTTAGACCATTAATTAAAAGCTTTCAAAGAAACATAAAATTAATACAAAATGAATTTATTTGCAATTTTTGAGCCATAGAGAATAAAGAAGTATATTATTAAAATGAGGCAAGTTATCTGTTATTTTCCTTGTATATTTTAATATATGATCATTTTTATTAGGAACTCCTGGTGTGGCACTGTAGGATCAGCCCTGTGCTGCAAACCACAAGGTTAACAGTTCAACCCCACCAGTTGCTCCTTGAAAACCTACATAGAGTCACTGTGAGTTGTATACAATTGCATATAGTTGTGTACAAACCAGCATAGAATTAAAGTGACTAAAGGTAATAAGGAGTCATGGTATGGTGCTATAGGATAAGCACTGGATTGCTAATTGTAAGATCTGCAGTTCAAACCCATAAACCACTTCTCAGAAACCCTATACAGAGTCTCTATGAGATAGTACCAACTCGATGGCACTCATCAACAACAAAGATTTAAAATAAATATTTGGCAAGTCATAGATTCAGGCTTTTTATATTATGCAGTATGACTGATTAATTATTCTTATGGCTTTTATTAAAACTTTATATTTTTATTTAGTATCCATCACTAAATCATTAAAATTTTAAGTTGACTTAACTGTAATGTCTCCTAATTTACCCAAATAATAAATATTCAATGTAAGCATATGTTTTACTGTTTGCATATTCTTTGTCATCTTAAGGTCACAAAGTGGAGGAAGTTCTTATTAATGAAGAAGCAATTTTGAACCTCATGGAAAATAGTCAAACTTTCCAACCTTTGACCCAAAGACTGAGTGAGTCTCCAGTTTTCAGTAAGTAACAGTAATACTGGATTTTAAGTTTAGATTCACCAGTATTTTAAATTAATACTGTTAGATTGTATATGAAAGGTTTGTATGGAGATTTGAAAACAGTGTTGTATGTTCAATAAGTATTTAGTCTACAGAATATAAAAATGAAACCATACATTACATCAAATATGGTGCTGTAGGAAAAGCACTGGACACAAGGTTGGTTTGAACTACAAGGTAGGCTGTTTAAACCCACCAGCCGCTCCTTGGAAACCCTATCTGTACAGGGTTATTATGAGTCAGAAACGACTTGACAGCACTTAACAACAGCATATATATTTCTATATGCATCCTGGTGTAGCACTTTTGGATAAAGCACCAGACCACAAAGTCGGTTTGAACTATAGGTATAGGGTGGTCAAACTCACCAGCTGCTCCTTGGAAACCCTATACAGTATCACTATGAGCCCGAACTGACTTGACAGCACTCAACAACAAATATATATATATGGAGTCCTGGTGTGGTGCTGTGGGTTAATGCGCCAAACTGCAGAGCCGTTTGAACTGCAAGGTCAGTGGCTCAAGCTCACCAGCCACTCCTCGGAAACCCTGTGTGTGTGTGTGTGTGTGTGTGTGTGTATATATATATATATATATATATATATATATATATACGCATACATACACACATATGTACATATATGTGTATGGAGTCCTGGTGTGGTGGTGTAGGATAAAGCACTGGACCACAAGGTTAGTTTAAACCTCAAGGTCGGCAGTTCAGACTCACCAACCACTCCTCAGAAACTGTATACAGGGTTCCTGTGAGAGAGAACTGATTGGATGGCACTTAGCAACAACAATACATAATATATAAGCAACTATGAAAGGAAATCATTCCTTGTTTCTTTTTCTTAACTTCACTTTGGTTGAGGGGAAACCATATTGCTCCAGGGGGAAAATACTTATTTTGAATTGAAGTTCTCCAAAGTTAAACACTTGAATAGAACACCGTAATCAGTTCTTTCTTGGTGACTAACAGAAATTTCCTAGCTAATTCCATCCAAGCCATTGAGTTCTGGCTAGATTAGCACATGCTAGCTATTTCTGAATGTCTTTGCAATAGTAATTTTCTTATACCATCACTCTAAACACATTTTCATTAGTATCATAGCCATTTCCTAAATAAATTTCAGTATTTTGGCTTACCGACATCTTTTTCAGAAATGTTGGAAAGTTTGCTGCATAAAGTAAGATAGTATTATATACTTCATGCTTCTTGTTTTGCTTGTTATAATTATTTCGTATTTCTTGCCTGCCTTGCTCTATTTTCTCATTCTAAAAGTGTCTAATATGATAAAATATCAAATATGACATTAAACCCACTGTTACCGAGTCAATTCCAAGGCTGTAAATCATTATGGGAACAGAAAGCTTCATCTTTCTCCTGTGGAACCACTGGTGGGTTTAAACTGCCAATCTTGCTGTTAGTAATCCAGCAGGTATCCAACAGTGCCACCAGGGCGCCTTCCCTGTGGTATTGGAGCCATACAATGTCTTCTTTATGTTACTTGCATTTCTACTGGTGAATGGAACATAACTAAATGGTTAGGGGTAAGACCATAATTAATATATACTGTCATATTTCAAGACAATTTAAACAGGACCAGAGGATGTTTTTCATTTTTTAAATAAACGGTCACATAAAGAAAGAAGTCATCCAAATACCACATCAAAAATTAGTTTGAGGAGAGTGGCAGGAAGATGGTGATGTGAGCAGCTAAATGTCCTCACCCTCTCACAACAACTCCAAAAAAAAAATTAAGAGATTTACAATCTAAAACACTCTATTGCTTCATCTGTTTAAATAAAAATACAAGGGTGGTTAAGTTTAAAAATTTTGTGGGGTCGGTGATATGAGGATATTTCCCTTCCACATTCTGCCATTCACTCTCAGGAAACTGACCAAGAAAATGTTCAAAAGTCAACCATCAGCTGGAAAACTGATGCTTAAGGTTTTCTGGGGTTCTCAAGGGCCAGTATTGGAACACTATCAGGAAAAAGGTTCAACAATCAACAGTGCTCGTTACAGTGCCAAGAGTGCGTGATCTTGCATGACAATGCATATCCACACACCCCTGACCACACTGCTGACACTCTTCAAAAACTTCATTTTGAGGTATTACAGCATTCTCCCTACAATCCTGATCTTGCTCCATTGTACTTCCACCTGTTTGGCCCCTGAAAGCATCCTTTTGAGGATGAAGATTCACCTCTGATGAAGAATTGAAGACAGCTATGCATTTGTAGTTCATAGCTCAGCCAAAAACATTTTTTAATAAGGGAATACAAAAGCTTGTTGACAGATGGACAAAATGTATTGAAAAGAAAGAAGATTATCTTGAAAAATGATGTACTTGTCTTTTCTAAAAGTTACTTAAAACAAAAATTCTACAGCCAAAGTACAGATAATTAATGATTTCACCTATATACACTAAGTTAAATTACATTCTAATTATTAAAAATAGGCAGTGAAAGTGAAAAATGTAGAGAAAATCAAGAATTAAAGAGGAGACGGGGAGAGACATAAGGCAACAAAATTTCTGTATCATCAACAGATACAATTCTGCCTAGCCTAGGATAGCAATGTCAATGTAGCCAAAGATGTGAGGAGCAAATATCTATAATTCATTTATCAATAGTAATCTTTCTTAAAAGATGTACTGGAACAAACAATCATAATTCCAGGTTTAAGAAATGGATCATTGTCAAAATAGACTCATAAATAAATACCATTTTTACCTTATGTTGGGAAACATTTGAATCAACATCTTTAATGTTAAAAAGAAAAGCTAAAACTTGATGTTTTAGTAAACTGGAAATTTTGTATAGAAAATGGTTAAGTACTAGGTTAGAACAAACCACCATCTTTATGATCTTAAAAAAAACAGCTTTATTAAGATATAATTTGTGTACTGTAAAATTTACCTTCTAGATTATACAAACTGGTAGTTTTTAAGTCATTAACATTATCTTAAGTCCAGAGCATTTTCATCATCCTGAAAAGAAACCCTGTGCTCATTGTCTCCTCACATTTGTTCCTTCTCGCAACCTTGGTTGTTGTTGTTAGGTTATTTTTAACTCATAGCATTACTATACACAACAGAATGAACACTGCCTGGTCCTGTGCCATCCTCAATATCATTGTTACACTTAAGCCCATTGCTGCTGCCACTGTGTCAGTCCGTCTCCTAGAGGGTCATCTTCTTTTTCATTGACCCTCCATTTTACCAAGCATGATGTTCTTTTCCAAGGAATATTCCCTCCTAATAGCATGTGTAAAGTATGAGAGACAAAGTCTCACTATCCTGGCTTCCAAAGAGTATTCTTTTCCAAAACCATAAATCAAATAAATCAATTCTGCGGCTGTCCTTATTCATTGTCAAACTTTCACATGATATGAGGCTATTGAAAATACCATAGCTTGGGTCATGCACACCTTAGCCCTCAAACTGACTTCTCTGTTCTTCAACACTTTAAAGAGGTCTTGTGCAACAGATTTGTCCAGTGCAGTACAACATTTGATTTCTTGGCTGTTGATACCATGCATGTTGATTCAAGCAAAATTAAGTCTTTGACAGTTTCAATCTTTTCTCCATTTATCATGATGTTATTTATTAGTCCAGTTGTGAGTATTTTTGCCTTCTTTTCATTGAGGTGCAGTCCATACTTGATGCTGTGGGCCTTGATCTTCATCAGTAATTATTTTAAGCCCTCTTGACTCACCAAGCAAGGTTTTATTATCTACATCGCACAGCTTGTGTGAATGAGTCTTCCTCCAATCCTGATGCTACTTACTTCTTCATATAATCCAGCTTCTCTGATTATTTGTTCAGCATGCAAATAGAATAAGTATGGTGAACCCTCACTTACACCTTTCCTAATTTTAAACCATTCAGTGTCCCCTTATTCGAACAATTGTCTCTTCTATGTGTAGGTTCCTCATGAGCACAATTAAGTTATTTGGAATATCCATTTTTCACAATGTTATCCATAGCATGTCATGGTCCACACAGTTGAAAGCCTTTGCATAGTAAACAAAGCACAGATAAACATCTTTCTAGTATTCTCTGCTTTCAGCCAATATCCATCTGACATCAGCAATGGTATCCCTCATTCCACACCCTCTTCTGCATCTGACTTGAACTTCTGGCAGTTCCCTGTCTGTGTGGTGTTACAGCCGCTTTCGAATTACCTTTAGCAAAATTTTACTTGCATGTAATATTAATGATATTGCTTAATGGTTTCCACATTCTGTTGGATCGCCTCTCTTTAGAATGGATCTCTTTCAGTCAGTTGGCCAGGTAGCTGTTTTCCAAATTTCTTGATAGATAAGTGAGTGTCTCCAGTGTGCTGCATCAGTTTGTTAAAAGATTTCAATTTGTATTCCATCAATTCCTTGGGCCTTAATGTTTGCCAATGCCTTCAGTGCATTCTTCCTTCCATACCACTGGTTCTTGATTGTATGCTACCTCTTGAATGATTAAACACTGAGTGTTTCCTTTCAGTACAGTGACTCTGTATTCCTTCCATTTTCTTTTGATGCTTTTTGCATCATTTAATATTTTGCCCATAGAATCTTTCAATATTGCAAATCAAGGCTTGAATTTTTTTTTTTTTCTTCAGTTCTTTCAGCTTGGGAAATGCTGTGTTCTTCCCTTTTGGTTTTCTAACTCCAGATCTTTGCACATTTTGTTGTAATACTTTATTTTGTTATAATACTTTGTCTTCTCAAGCTGCCCTTTGAGATTTTCAGTTAAGTTCTTTTACCTCCTCATTGCTTCTATTTGCTTTAGCATCTCTATGCTGGAGAGCAAGCTTTAGAGTATCTTGTTTCATCCATATTGGTCATTTCTTTCTTTCTTGTCTTCCTAATGATTGTTTGCTCTTTCCTGTATGATGTTCTTGATGTCATCCCCCAGTTCTCCTGGTCTTAGGTCACTAGTGTCTAACCTGTTCGTGAGATCTCTAAATTCAGGTGGGATATATTCGGGGTTATATTTTGGCTGTTGTGGACTTGTTCTAATTTTCTTCAGCTTCAGCCTGAACTTGTATATGAGCAATTGATGGTCTGTTCCACAGCCTGCCTCTGACCTTGTTTTGGCTGATGATACAGATCTTTTCCACTGTGTCTTGCCACAGATGTATTCAATTTGGTTTCTGTATATTCCTTCTGTTGAGGTCCATGTGTACAGTTGTCTTTCTTCGTACTCTTAGTCTGGAAACTCAGCTGAAATCTGTCCACCATGGGTAACCCTATTGGTATTTAGAAAACCTGTGGCATTGCTTCCAGCATCATAGCAACAGGTAAGCCACCACAATATGATAAACCAAACAGGCGAGTGGTAGGTCCAACCTTAGCAAACACTAATCTTCTATTTCTTTAATTTGTCTATATTACACATTTCATATTAATGTCATCATATTGTATGTTGCCTTATATGTATGACTTCTTTCACTAACCATAATGTTTTTGAGATTTATCCATATAGTACCGGATTTCTTTATACTACCAAATAATATTCCGTTGTTGTTGTAAGTACTGTTGAGTTGATTTGTTAATTGGTGGATATTTAAAATGCTTTTTCTTTTTGACTCCTATGAATAATACTGCTCTGATAATTTGTGTACAGTCTTTTGTATTGGCAAATACTTTCAGTTCTCTTGAGTACATACTTAAGAATACCATTGCTGAGTTAATTGCTAACCCTAATTTTGACATTTTTTTTTTAGAACTAACTACTAAGGTGTTTGTTTTTTAAAACCACTGCACCACTTAAAATTTCACCAGAAATATATGAGGATTACAATTTCTGCACATCCTTGCCAAACATTATTATTATCTGTTTTTTATTTTAGCCATCTTAGTGAGTGTAAGGACTCCTGGTGTTTAGCACTGTAGGGTAAGCACTGGACTGCTAACCACAAGATCAGCGGTTCAAACCACCAGCTGCTCCTTAGAAACCCTATACAGGGCTGCTATTAGTTGGAACTGACTCCAAGGCACTTAAAAACAATTAAGTGGGTGTGGGTGTAAGGAGCCCGAGTGGCTCTGTAGGTTATGCACTAGACTGCTAACTGCAAGATTGGCAATTCAAACACAATGACTACTTTTTGTGAGAAAGATGAGGCTTTTTGCCCCTGTAAAGATTTATAACCTCAGAAACTCTATACAGGGTCGCTGTAAGTCAGAATCAATTAGATAGCAGTAGTTTAGTTTTTCCAGTTATTTTGATCTTCATTATTTATTAAATAGTGTTGTTAACCAATTTTAAAGCTCTTGGATTTTCAACTGCAGGTTTTGTTTTTTTTAACTATCCTGCAAGCTAAATGAAGTTAATGAGGCATGAAATTTTCCCTTGTATAATTTTTAAGAGTTCCTTAGTATACATTTTTATATATTTATGATATATTTTGGAGTCCAGTTGTGCCACTGTAGGATAAGCATTGTACTGCTAACCCAAGGTTGGCAGTGCAAACCACCAGCCGTTCCTTGGAAAACCTCTTCAGGGTCCCAGTGAGTTGGAACCAACTCATCAGCACTTAACAACAACAATTGTATGTTTTATATTTATGTTGGACACTTGTGGCCATCTTTGGGTCTTTCAGCTTAAGTATGTTGTAAGAGACAGGATAGCTTATTAAAATGCAAATGCCTGCCCCTCCCAGAAGGGATTTGAAATACAGAGTCTGGGAATCTTCTGTTATTTAATTACTAAAATCATTCTAATGCGTATGATGCAGGAATCACATTTTATTGGGAAAGCATTATCAGCACCTAAAACTGTGTGCTAGCTGTGTTTTTTGAGCTTATGCCAATATCTATGACACAAATGTTGTTTTATAATTGTTGGGCTACTTAGAAATTTTCAGATATTTGTTGGTGATTATTTCATTTGTCTTATAGTGAACAGTAGTCCTGATGAGGCTCTGGTACAACTTCTTGCTGGTTTGGAAAGTGATGGATATCAGGGGGAAAGAAATAGGATGTCATCACCATGTCATTCTTTTGGAAACTCTAAAAATCTCCAAAATAGTGATGATGAAGAAAATGAACCACAAATTGAAAAAGAAGAAATGGAGCTTAGTTTGGTGATGTCTCAGAGATGGGACAGCAATATTGAAGAACATTGTGCCAAAAAGAGGTAATTTGATAGTTGTGAGTTACTTTAAGAATTGTTTGTCATTTATTACTGTTCATATTTACTCAGAAATTACTTACTGTGGCAGATAATACAGATTAACTCATAAACAGTTGATTTTCTTATTATAAATATCTTTTAAGTAGTGATTTGAGTTTACATGTGGCATAAACTTCATGTTCAGGCTAAAAATAGTTTTACTTTATTATTTTTTAAAAAATCCAAATCTTACTGTTGATAGTTATCATCACGTTGACTCTCACAGCAACTTTATATTTATACTCAGTCCTCTTCACAATCATTAGTTTGTTTGAGTCCATAGAACCTAACTTTGTTGCTTATAAGTGCTGTCAAGTCAATTTTAACTCACAAGTCACCCTGTACAGGACTTCCAAAGAGATGGTGAAAAAGCTGCATATCATCAGCCAAAACATGGCTAGATACAGAATGTGGAACAGACCATTAATTGCTCACTTGTAAGTTCAGGCTGAAGCTGAAATTTAAAACAAGTCCAGGAGAGCCAAAATGTGTCCTTGAACATATGCACCTGAATTTAGGAACCATATCAAGAACAGATAGACACTAATGACTAAAGACTAGAAGAGCTGTGGGATGACATCAAGAATGTCATATAGGAAGAAAGCAAAAGGTCATTAAGAAGACAAGAAAAAAAGAAAGGACCAAAATGGATGTCACAAGAGACTCTGAAACTTGCTCTCCAGCATAGAGATGCTAAAGCGAATGGAAGCAATGAGGAGGTAAAAGAGCTGAACAAAAAATTTCAAAAGACAGTTTGAGAAGATAAAGTAAAGTATTATAATGAAACATACAAAGATCTGGAGTTAGAAAATCAAAGAGAAGAACATGCTTAGCATTCTCATGCTAAAAGAATGGAAGACAAATTTCAAAACTCAGCTTACAGTGTTGAAGGATGTGACACTGTGGGTTCATGCGCCAGATTGCAAAGCCATTTGAACTGCAAGGTCAGCGGTTTGAGCTCACCAGCTGCTCCTCAGAAACCCTATACAGGGTTGCTATGGGTCAGAACCAACTCAATGGCACTTAACAATAACAACATAGGTAAAATATTGAATGACGAAGAAAGCATCAAAAAAAAAAAAGATGAAAAGAATACAGACTAACTGTGCTGAAAGAAAATGATTGGCGTTCATCCATTTCAAGAGGTAGCATATGATCAAGAACCAGTAGTGCGAAAGGAAGGAAGTCCAAGGTTCACTGAAGGTGTTGGCAAAGAACAAGTTTCCAGGAATTGATGGAATACAAATTGAAATCTTTCAACAAACTGATTCAGCACTGGAAGCATTCACTCATCTATGCCAAGAAATTTGGAATATAGTTACCTGGCCAACTGATTAGAAAAATTACATTTCTGTGCCCATTCTAAAGACAGGTAACTCAACAGTCCGAAAGTTATTGAACATTATCATTAAAATCACATGCACATAAAATTTTGCTAAAGATAATTCAGATACTGCACAATTGTACATCGACAGGGAATTGCAAAGGCTAGAGACAATTTCAGAAGAGGACATGGAATGACGTCAGGCGTATCTTGGCTGAAAGCAGAGAATTTAGAAAGATGTTTATCTGTGCTTCATTGATTTTTCATAGCTTTAGACTACGTGGATCATGACAAGCTGTGGATAACATTGTGAAGAATATGTATTTCAGATAACTTAATTGTGTTCATGAGGAACCTGTACATAGGCCAAGAAAGTCATTCCTAAAGAAGAAGAGTACACTGTATGGTTTAAAATTGGGAAAGGTGTGAGTCAGGGCTGTATTATTTCACTACACTTACTCTGTATTTATGCTGAACAAATAATCCATGAGCTGGATTATATGAATAATGAAAATCAGGATTGGAGGAGACTCATTAACAACTTGCGGTATACAGATGATACGACCTTGCTTGCTGAAAGTGAAGAGGGCTTAAAATACTTACTGGTAAAGATCAAAGACAACAGCCTTCAGTATGAGTTGCACCTCAGTGTAAGGAAAACTAAAATCCTCACAACTGGACCGATAAATGGAGAAACTGTTGAAGTTGTCAAAGATTTCATTTTACTTAGACCCACTGTCAACATGAAAGCAGCAATCAAGACATCAAACGATGTATTATTGCATTGGGCAGATCTGCTGCCCAAGATCTCTTTAAAGTGCTGACGAGCAAAGAAGTCAGTTTGAGGACTAAGTTGTGCCTAACCCAAGCCATGGTATTTTCAATAGCCTTATATGCATGTGAGGAGTCTTGGTGTGGTGCTGTAGGTTAATGCACTGGACTGAAAAGTTGATTTGAACTGCAAGGTCAATGGTTCAAGCTCACCAGCCATTCCTCGAAAACCCTATACAGAGTCATTGTGGGTCGGAGCCAACTCGACAGCACTTAACAATATATGCATGTGAAAGTTGGACAGAGAATAAGGAAGACTAGAAGAATTGATGTATTGATTTATAGTGTTGGAGAAGAATATTTAAAGTATCCTGGACTGCTAGAAGAACAGACACATCTGTGTTACAAGAATTACAACCCTCCTTATAAGCCAGGATGGCAAGATTTTGTTTGGTAAAATGGAGGGTAGGCGATAAAGAGGAAGACTCCTAAGGAGATAGATTGACACAGTAATGGGCTCAAATGTAACAATTGTGAGAAGGGCGCAGGACTGGGCACTGAAAACTCACTTCTGGTATGGTGCTGTAGGATAAGCACTGAACGTGTCAAAGTCAGCGATTCAAACTCACCAGCCACTCCCTGGAAACCCTATACAGAGTCACTGTGAGTCAGAACCAACTCAGCAGTATCTAGCCACAGTTTTGTTAATAGCTTTAAGACAAGAAATGACTTCATAATCTGATTAAACTGAAAGAATATAATATTAAAAGTAAATAAAGTAAAAGGGACCTTGAAGCAGACACTGGTATTCTAGTTACATTCTGGCACTGTGGCTTTTTTAAGTCCATCTCCATGAGCATTAACAGTTTGAATCAAGTCCTAAATAACAACTCTACAGAAATGGGCCTCTGATCTTGAAAAGACTGACTATGCCTCTTTAAACTTCTGATGTTATTGGTTGCTATTGAATCAATTCCAATGCATAGCAATTTTACGTTATGGGTTAAGTGCCATCTAGTCGGTCCAACTCATAGGTATCCTGTATAGGGTTTCTGAGGAGTGGCTGGTGGATTTGAAACGCCAACCTTAAAAACAACAGTCCAATAAGTATCTTACAGTGCCACATCAAGATTCCATAGCCACTCTGTTAAGTGCTGTTGAGTCAATTCCAACCCATAGCGACCATGTATAGGGTTTCCAAGGAACAGCTGGTAAGCTTGAACCACCGGCCTTGCAGTTCAAACAACTTTGCAGTCTGACACATTAGCCCTCAGCACTACACCAGGAGTCCTAGCCACTCTATAGGACAGAGTAAAACTGTCCCCTTAGGATTTCCTAGGCTGTATAGTGTGGTGGTTACGAATCGGGCTGCTAATCTCACAGTCAGCGGTTTGAAACTACCAGCTGCTCCATGGGAGAAAGATGAGGCTTTCTGCTCCCATAAAGATTTACAGCCTCGGAAACTGTGTACAGGGTCGCTATGAGTCGAACTGACTCCATGGCACATAACAACAACAAAAACAATCTTTACAGAAGCATATTGTTGTTAAGTGCTGGCGAGTCAGTTCTGATTCATAGTAACACTGTATAGGGTTTCCGAGGAGTTTCTGGTAGATCTAAACTGCCAACCTTGCGATTCAAACTGACATTGCAGTTGAGTGCTTATCTTACAGCATTACATCAGGACTCCACAGGAGCATATAACACAAGGTGTTTTAACACAAAGAGTTTTCTCCAAGAGCTGCTGGTGCTTTCTTTAGAACTACCAACTTTTTGGTTCACTGCTGAGCACTTAACCATTGTGCCACTGGAGCTCCTTTTAAACTTCTGTGTCATTGTTAGGTGCTGTCAGATCAGTTCTAACTCATAGCAACCCTCTGTAAAACAGAACAAAACACTTGCTTAGTCCTGCAGCATCTTCATAACCGTTGCTAATGCTTTGAGCTCAATTTTGCTGCCATTGTGTCAGTCCATATGCTTGAGGGTCTGCCTCTTTTTCACTGACTCTCTATTTCATACACAGTGTCTTTCTCCATGCACTGATTCTTCCTTAGAACATGTCCATAACATGTGAAATGGATTCTCAACCATCTTTGCATTCTGGCTCTGTTTCTTTAAAGACAGGTTCGTTCATTCTTTTCGCATATTGTTAACCAATGCTATAATTCCAAGGCATCCCTCTTCTTTGTTCTTCCTTATTTGGAGTACTGGTGTGTGGGTTAATGTGTTGGACTGCAAAGTCTGTTTGAACCATAAGCTTGGCAGCTCAAGCTCACCAGCCGCTTCTCGTAAATCTTATGCAGGGTCACTATGGGTTGGAACTGACTTGATAACGATAAGTCCATTTTTAGCTTACTAATGTGTTGCTATGGGTTGGAACTGACTTGACAGCACTCAAAAACAACAATGTCTAGGGTATCAGTTTTTAAGCATTCCCTTTCATTTTTGATGACTTCGAATTTTCCTAATTCACACTTTGCACTTTCTATGTTCCCATTATTAATGCATTCTTGCAGCTGTTTCTTTTCATTTTGAGTCATGTCCATCAGCAAATGAAGGTCTGTTTTGAAAGCCTTCCTCCATCCGCATCATTAAGGTCAACCCTAGTTTGAGGACACGTTTCTTCCCCAGTTTTATTTTGAGTGCCTTCTAATGTGAGGGGCTTATTTTCCAGCACTATATCAGACAGTGTTTCACTGCTGATCATAAGGTTTTCAGTGGCTAACCTTTGCAAAATGGTCCACCTCTCCTTCTTCCTAGTTTGTTTTCATTTGGAAGCTCTGTTGAAACTTATTCATTGTGGGTGATCTTGAAATATTTGATATACTGGTGGCATACGTTTCAGCATGAGAGCAACACACAAGCCACCACAGCACAACTAACTGACAGTGGAGTGGTAGATTGTCTACTCTTGTTAGGTGCCATCAAGTTGATACCAACTCATAACGACCCTATGCCCAACAGAATGAAACACTTGCCCGGTCATGGGCCACCCTTACAGTTTTTGCCACACTTGAGCCCATTGATGCTGCCACTTAGCCAATCAATCTCACTGGGGGGGTCTTCCTTTTTTTCTCTGACCCTCCACTTTACCAAATATGATACCCTTCTCCAGCGACTGGTCCCCTCCTGACAATATGCCTGAAGTATGAGAGACGAAGTTTGGCCATCCAGGCCTCCAAGGAGCACTTCTTCCAACACAGATCTGTTGGTTCTTGTCTACTTTAGTCTGTTAAAATTAAGGGGCGTGGGCTGCTAGATATGATCATAATTTTAATACCTAAAATATAGTCTAATTTGACTGGGATCATACTTGGTAATAGTTCAGTTGTATTTCAGTTATTTCAAAATTACTCCTCTTCTATTGAAGTGATTATTTTAAACCCTTACAGTGATGTTACTAGTACTGTTAAATTTTAGTTGGTAAAAAGATAAATGTTACCTCAGTTTATCTCTTGTTGTTGTGAAGTGTCATTGAGTCAGTTCCGATTCATTGTGACCCCATATAGGGTTCCCAATATAGGGTTTGACCCCATATAGGGTTTGAGCCGCCGACCTTGTAGTTTATAGTCCAGTGCTGATCCTACAGTGCCACACCAGGAGTCCTAAACTTACCTGTAGTTGTTAGAAAATGTATGAATTTTTATAAAGTCATTTTGCAATAACTGTTGGTTTTTTTTCAGATAACTATAGTAGGGTATGTTAGTACAGTAAAGTAAGTATTTTCAAAGTTACAGTTTTCAAATTTTTAATTCAGTTTTACTTGTGTAGTGCCATATTAGGCAACTTATTTCAGTCTAAGATGGTTTTTTCGAATGATTATTCTCACCAGTGAGTCTTCATATTCTAGATCACTGTGCAGAAATACCCATGGAAGCTCAACAGAAGATGAGTCATCAGAAGAAGAAGAAATGGAATGGAGTGATAATAGTTTGTTTCTAGCCAATCTCTCTATACCTCAGTTAGATGGAACTGCAGATGAGAATAATGGTGAGCAGTTACTTATTAAAAAGCTAAAAATATTTCTGATTCTCTATCGGCACACTTCCTATATAACAGACTGAGATTATAGCAATGCTGTTCATTGTGTTGCTCTTTTCTATAGATGTCTTCTTTTAGAAGAATGTAAATAAATGCTTCTTTCTCATTTCGAAGAGGATTTTAAAAAAAATTGATATCAGGTTGATCCCAATTCATGGCAAAACCATGTGTGTCAGAGTAGAACTGTGCTCCATAGTATTTTCAGTAGCTGTTTCTCAGAAACAGATCCCAAAGCCTTTCTTCTCAGGTGTTTCTGGGTAGATTGAAACCTTTAACCTTTCAGTTAGCAGCCAAACCCATTAATCATTTACACCACCCAGGGATTCCTATAAGAGGATAACGTTTGTTAAGCACTATTTTCAAGCTTCCTAAACTTTAACCTGTTAATCATTTTAATGTTTAAGTAGTATAAGAAAGTGTTTTTTAATGTTCAGTTTTCAAAACTTGTAACTTATAATATCATCTTTTAGAAAAAAGTCTAAAGTATAATGAACAGAAGCAAATTATGAACAAAATTTGAGGTGACGATATTTTTCCCTTATTTCATTGAATATCAATTGTATCTATTTCTGTTCAAAATAGGATAACTATCAAATGTAACTAACGGGGGTATTATCTTAATGATGCTGTTGTTGTGAAATGCCGTTGAGTTGGTGCCGACTCATAGTGACTCTGAATAGAGTTTCTGAGGACTGGCTGGTTGATTTGAACTGGTGACCTTGTGGCTCGAACTAACCTTGAGGTCCAGCACATTATCCTACAGCGCCACACCAGGGTCTTTAATGATATGAGTGACCTTTTGTTGAAATAGCCATTTGAAATACACCAACTTAGTTTTATATAATTTTTTTCTTGGTGATATTATCTTGTTATTGAATTTTTTTTTTCCTCTATGTGAGAATGAAATAAATCCTTTTTTTCCCCCATTCCAGACAACCCATTGAACAACGAAAATTCTCGAACCCACTCTTCTGTTATTGCAACAAGCAAGCTATCAGTAAAACCCTCCATCTTTCACAAAGATGCTGCTACGTTAGAACCTCCATCTTCTGCTAAGATTACCTTTCAGTGTAAACACACAAGTGCCCTTTCTTCCCATGTTTTGAACAAGGAAGATTTAATTGAAGACCTTTCACAGCCAAACCACATCGAAAAAGGTCTAGATCATTCAGTTGCTTCTTTTACGAATGAAAGCACTTATTCTATGAAATACCCTGGATCTTTAAACAGTACTGTCCATTCAGAAAACTCACATAAAGAAAGCAGTAAGAAAGAGATCTTCCCAGTACCTTCCTGTGAAAATAGTATTTTTGATTATGATGAAGATATTCCATCTGTTGCTAGACAAATACCAAGCAGAAAATATACAAACATTAGAAAGGTTGAAAAGGATGCCCCTTTTATACATATGAATCGTCATATTAGTGAAAGTACATTGGGCAAAAACTCTTTCAACTTTTCTGACTTGACCCATTCAAAAAATAAATTAAACTCTGAAGGAAATGAGAAAGGTAACAGCACAGCTCTGAATAGCTTATTCCCTTCATCATTAACTGAAGATTGTGAATTGCTATCATGCTCAGGGGAGAACAGAACTATGGTGCATTCTCTTGGTAGCATTGCTGATGAAAGTGGACTAAATAAGCTGAAAATTAGATACGAAGAATTTCAAGAACATAAAACAGAAAAACCAAGCCTCAGCCAGCAAGCCGCACATTATATGTTTTTCCCCAGTGTTGTTCTTTCTAATTGTCTCAGTAGACCACAGAAACTCTCCCCTGTCACATATAAGCTACAGCCTGGCAATAAACAGTCCCGGTTAAAGTTGAGTAAAAAGAAACTTGTAGGTCACCAGGAGACTTCTACCAAAACTAGTGAAACTGGATCCACAAAAGATAACTGTCTACAAAATAATCCTTGTAGTAGTAATCCTGAGAAGGATAATGTACTGGCCAGTGATTTAATTAAAGCCACCCGTGGTACTTTTGAAAATAAAACTCCTACAGACACTTTTATAGACTGTCACTTTGGAGATGGAACCTTAGAAACTGAGCAGTCCTTTGGACTATATGGAAATAAGTACACACTAAGAGCCAAACGCAAGGTAAATTATGAGACTGAAGATAGTGAATCAAGTTTTGTAACACACAACTCAAAAATTAGCCTACCTCATCCCATGGACATTGGTGAAAGTTTCGATGGAACTCTTAAATCTCGAAAACGAAGAAAAATGTCAAAAAAGCTGCCCCCTGTCATCATAAAGTATATTATTATCAATAGATTTAGAGGGAGAAAAAATATGCTTGTGAAGCTAGGAAAAATAGACTCTAAAGAGAAACAAGTAATATTGACAGAGGAAAAAATGGAGCTATATAAAAAGCTTGCACCTTTGAAGGATTTTTGGCCAAAAGTTCCTGACTCCCCTGCCACCAAATATCCCATTTATCCACTAACACCAAAGAAAAGCCACAGAAGAAAATCAAAACATAAGTCAGCTAAGAAAAAAACTGGTAAGCAACAAAGGACAAATAGTGAAAATATTAGAAGAACTTTATCTTTCAGGAAAAAAAGGTCACATGCTATTCTTTCTCCTCCCACACCATCTTACAGTGCTGAAACCGAAGACTGTGACTTGAACTATAGTGATGTTATGTCTAAACTAGGTTTTCTTTCTGAGAGAAGCACAAGTCCCATAAATTCTTCTCCACCTCGTTGCTGGTCACCCACAGATCCAAGAGCTGAAGAAATTATTGCTGCTGCAGAAAAAGAAGCAATGCTTTTTAAGGGTCCTAATGCATATAATAACAAGACTGTTAATTCCCGCATAGGTAAAAATAGTCGAGCAAGAGTGCAGGTTAAGAAATCAAAAACAAAGCTTGTTAATCCTTCTGTAGTTACTAAGAAAAGGAACAAACGAAATCAGACCAGTAAACTAGTAAATGATGGGAAAAAGAAACCAAGAGCCAAGCAAAAACAAAAAACAAATGAGAAGGGTACATCAAGGAAGCATGTTACCCTTAAAGATGAAAAAGTAAAGTCTCAGTCTGGTGCTGAAGTTAAGTTTGTGCTAAAACATCAGAATGTGTCTGAGGTCTCTAGTAGTCCTGGGGGCTCTCAGCCAGTTTTTAAACAGAAAGATGTGTCACTAGCAGGCTCTGCTGTAGATCACCCCCTTTCTGCTCCTCTCCCCACAGGAATGAATACACAGCAGAAATTATCTGGCAGTTTTTCTTCTTTCTTAGAAAGCAAGAAGCCTGTAGATTTGCAAGCATTCTCCAGTTCACGAGATGATTTGCATTCATCAGTTGTTAGTAGTTCTGTAGGACCCGGAATATCAAAAGTTAGTATTCAAAGGTCTCATAATCAAAGTACTATGTTTACTTTAAAGGAATCAGCTTTGATTCAAAAAAATATATTTGACCTTTCTAACCATTTGTCTCAGGTAGCTCAGAATACACAGATATCTTCGGGAATAGTGTCTTCAAAGGTAGAAGAGAATGCCAATATACAAAAAAACTATTTGTCATCTATTGGAAAGTTAAATGAATACCATAATTCTCTAGAATCAAAGTTGGACCAGCCGTATGCCCCCAATTTTTTGCATTGCAAAGACAGTCAGCAGCAGATTGTGTCTATGGCGGAGCAGTCAAAGCACAGTGAAACTTGTGCCGGAATTGCAGCTTCAGAGGAAAGCCAAATGTCTAATAACTGCTATGTGACTGCCTTGAGAAGTCCAATCAAACAAATAGCATGGGAGCAAACACAAAGGGGCTTTATTTTAGATATGTCAAATTTCAAACCTGAACGAATAAAACAAAAATCATTGTCAGAAGCAATTTCACAAACCAAAGCACTCTCTCAGTGTAAAAATCGAAATGTGTCTACACCGTCAGCACTTGGGGAAGGACAGTCTGGACTAGCAGTTTTGAAAGAATTGTTACAAAAAAGACAGCAGAAAGCACAAAATGCAAATACTATACAAGATCCATTATCTAATAAACATCAACTGAACAAAAATGTTTCTGGTTCCTTTGAACACAAGGCAATTAAGAGAACACGATCAGTAACATCTCCAAGAAAACCTCGAACTCCCAAAAGTACAAAGCCTAAAGAAAAAATACCCAGACTTCTAAAAGTGGACTCTCTACATTTACAAAACTCTGGTCACTTGGACAACTCCCTATCAGATGATAGTCCCGTCTTTTTTTCAGACCCAGGTTTTGAAAGTTGCTATTCACTTGAAGACAGCTTATCTCCTGAACATAATTATAATTTTGATATTAATGCAATAGGTCAAACCGGATTTTGTAGTTTTTATTCTGGAAGTCAGTTTGTTCCGGCTGATCAGAATTTGCCTCAGAAGTTCCTAAGTGATGCAGTTCAAGATCTTTTCCCAGGACAAACTTTAGAAAAAAATGAATTTTTAAGTCATGATAACCAAAAGTTTGATGATAGCAAGCATCATGCCTCAGACCCAACCTCGTGGATTAGATCTGGTACTCTAAGTCCTGAACTTTTTGAGAACTCATCCATAGACAGCAATGAAAATCATCGCCACAATCAATGGAAAAATAGTTTTCATCCTCTAGCAACTCGGTCTAATTCAATAATGGAGTCTTTCTGTATCCAGCAGACAGAGGACTGTCTACATGAAAAACCGCGATTGAATAGGAGTTCTCTAAGTAAAGAAGTGTTTCTCAGTCTCCCACAGCAGAGCAATTCAGATTGGATTCAAGGTCACACCAGAAAAGACATGGGGCAATCTCTTGACTCAGTCAATACCTCTTTTACTACAATTCTATCCTCCCCTGATGGTGAACTTGTGGATGCAGCCTCTGAAGATTTAGAATTGTATGTTTCCAGAAATAATGACATACTGACACCAACTCCTGATAGTTCACCAAGGTCTACCAGTTCTCCTTCACAATCTAAAAATGGCAGTTTCACCCCTCGAACTGCTCACATTCTGAAACCACTTATGTCTCCACCAAGTAGGGAAGAAATTATGGCAACTTTGTTGGATCATGACCTTTCAGAAACTATTTACCAAGAACCATTTTGCAGTAATCCTTCTGATGTGCCAGAAAAGCCCAGGTAATCAGAATAATTTGTTATAATAGCTAAATAATGATAATGTGTATAACAGCATTTGATACCTGACTATTAATTTTCTGGCTGTGATACTGTATTTTTAAGTATGTCATTGTGAGAACTATTTATCATTATAGACTTACTAAGAAAATTCACAAACTAGCTGGATAATTGTACCTAGGGACATTTATTTAAGTTCATGAGAATTAAACTTGAACCTACTACTAATTATAACTGTTTCTTCATTAAGGATTAGAGGTATAGAACCTCACTATGATAAGATACAAAATTAAGGATGCTATAATATTTTAAGAGCATTATAATTATCCTTTAAAAATAGTAACTCATTTTTTAACTGGTAAGCTTTTATAAATCTTTAAAAAGAACTATATATTTAAAGTATTTGCAGTACCCTTTTGATGCATCCCTAACTGAAATTAGTTCTATTTTATACCACTTTCTTTCATGTAGCCAGCATCTCAGTCATAGTGTTAGTTTGCAAGCAGTAGAAGTTCAGGGATTGAATTTGGTTCCCGTTATGCCATCTTTCTTTTAAAAATAATTTTGGGTAAGTGATAGACATGCATGCACACACACATACACAGGCTCAGAGGCGCAACATGGGAATCATGCTAGTAATTTGTTTACAGGGGTTAAGTAGCTATCCTGTGCCCCTCCATCAGCAGGTTGTAGGACATATCTAATAAAAGCTGAATTGAAGAATAAGGCTTAACCCTGGAGGTTTAAGTGATGATTCTTTGTCTTGCAACCTGTATCTGTGAAACAGACTATCATCCCATTTACCTAACCAGTTGCTGGGAGAGACAGCTCACTTCTACCACCCAGTCAGAGCAGAGGAGATGGCCGTGACTGCTAAGGCAGGCGCTGCTTAGTCTGTGTGATGGAAGGAAATGTGAAGAGCCAACTAACATAAGATACCGTACCTCACTTCATGTGTGTACTGACCTTCAACAGCACAGTGTTCCTGACTTGAGTAAATATGACACAACAAATACCAGATTTTTGCAAAACCAGCAAGTTAGTAATAGTTCTTGTAGTCGTCCATTTAAGAAAGGAGAAAGTATTCAGAAACATAGAAGAGATTTTCCTTCTGTAAGGACTTGAAATGAAGGGCAGAATACACAGTTCCTTCCCAATCCACAGTTTTGTTAATTGTACCTGTGTGTGTTCCTTTTATATACCTACATGTGGGACTTTTTCTCTTTATTCTGCTCCCAGAATATAGGAATGTCTGTTCGTGAGATATTATTTTGGGCTTTGGCTTTGTCACTAGTGATTGTAGTAAGGTTTTTTTAATTGAGCTACTTCTTCTGTCTCCACCTTACAAACTTCCATCAGCTTGTGGTAGTCATTAATTCTGTGTCATTGTTAGTTGTTAGTTTACTGTTCAACTTTGATACTTGTCCTGCAGCCAAAATTAAAAGCATGACCATTTTTAAATAACAATTTTTGTATAAAGCTACATTTCAATATCGAATATTTAATTATAAAATAAAAATAACATTTCACTACCTCATAACAACCATTATTAATATTTTGATGTGTTTCCTTACAGTTTTTATGTATAATTATTTATTTGTTTTATGAATTGTGTTCTGACTATAGCAACAGTAACATATTCAAATTTTTCAGTTAATATTATAAGCATTTTCCCAAAATATGTTTTTTAAAACATCATTTTAGTGGTTGCAAAATATTTTATCATGTATGCATTGTTGTGACAGAAAGTTTGTTAGTTGTTGTTTTCTGTTATAGATAACGATATAAGTCATATTCATAAAGCATTTTTAGTATTTTTGAATTTTTCCCTATGGAAATAAGATTACTGAAAAATTTAGTCTTTTGATAAATACTGTGATTTTTTTCCTGAATCATTTATAGGATTTCCCTAACAATACTGACAATATTCAAGAAAGCTGAACTTACTGTACCTCTTCAATTCTTATTATTCTTGACTTATTTATGATCTCTGTATTAACAGCTTAGTGTTGGTTGGGACCATATGGTATGTGTGCATCCTTCAACAGCAATAATTATGTTTCTCCAGAGCATACTAGATATTGATGATTAGCAGGTTGGGGCCAAAATCTTGCAAAACAGAAAAGGAATCATCACCCTAACGCTGCTCCTTCAGCTCCAATTTAGAAACCTTGAATCCATTTAATTTTTTTCTAGAGACTGATCAGGACATTTCAGGGGAATCATGTCCCCTCCAAAAGGTGCACTCTATTTAGAGAAGTAGTTAAATAGCAAACCTAAGATCTTCATTACTTGTGGAAGAAAAAATAACCTTGATTTATGTTGCTACAGAAGGCAAAAATAATACTTTTGTATGCAAGGAGACTTCAAAAAGCTTGTGGAAATATACTCCGTTATCTTTTACTTCCATGTTTTTCTCAAACTTCTAAAAGCCTACTTGTATGTTATGAGAAAGAGGTTTGGTTCATATGTTTATAACTATTGAAAACTAATCCAGACTATCATTTTAATTAGTGATCCCCCCACATACCATTACTGCAAAGCTCTGCATTCTCTAGATTCTTCTTACTCTTAAATTCTTTAATTTTTTTGTTAGTGTTTACTCCTTTGTTGTTGTTGTTAAGTGCTGTCCAGTAGATTCAGACTCATAGCAACCCTGGATAGCAGGGGTGGGGAATGTCTGACCTGTAGGCCTTATGTTGTTGTTAAGTGCCTTATAGTCTGTTCTGACTTATAGTGATCTTGTATAGGGTTTCCTAGGAGCGGCTGGTGAGTTTGAACCTGCTGAACTTGTAGTTCAAACCAAACTTGAGGTCGAATGCTTATCCTACGCCACACCAGGACTCCTGTAGGCTATACTATTGTTGTTAAGAGCCATTGAGTCAATTCTGACTAACAGGGACCCAGGCTGCTAACCTCAGGGACAGCAGTTCGAAACTACCACTACCAGCTGTTCCGTGGGAGAAAGATGAGGCTTTGTGCTCCCATAAAGATTTACAGCCTTGGAAACCCTGTGCAGGGTCGCTATGAGTCAGAACCGACTCCATGGCATACAACAACAACAACATAGGGTTTCCAAGGAGTAACTGGTGAGTTTGAACCACCAACATTGTGGTTCAAACCAACCTTGAGTCCTGCACTTTTCCTACAATGCTCTGCAAAATCATTTGGTCTGGCCCTGCCAAGGCAAACACAATTCCAGCCATCACACTAAGGGTGAATTAATTAAATTGTTTGACCAAATGCAGCAGGCTAATTCTTAACTTGGTAATTTTATATGGCCCACAAATGTTGTTATAAAAGGGAGCTCTAGTAGCGTAGTGTTTACGAATCATGCCTTGAACCTCAAGGTCAGCAGTTCGAAATTACCAGCTGTTCTGCGAGAGAAAGATTTACAGACTTACAGATTTACAGACTCAGAAACCCTGCACAGAGTCGCTATGAGTTGGAACCAACTCCACGGGACATAACCACCACCACCACCACTCCTATTCTGTAAGGTTTCCAAGCAGCAGCCAGGTGGGTTAGTGTTAAACCTTGCCATGTACAGAGGAGAAGAAATTGTGATAATTTATCCGATTATGTATAGTGTTTGGTTTTTTTTAATGTCTGAGGAAATTGGGGTGGATGCAGAGGTTTGTATGCTTGAATTGACTGGCTTTGCTAAAGTACTTAACAGATACTAGAAAATGTAGAAAGACTGGATAAAATATAGGGCTATCATCTCTGAATAATTAAGTCCTACCGTTTAGAGCCCTAGTATGGGGCTGTGGATTAATGCACTGAGCTACCAAGTTGGTTTGAACCATAAGTTTGGTGGTTCAAGCTCACCAAGTGCTCTTTGGAAACCCTATGCAGGGTTGCTGTGGGTTGGAACCAACTCAACAGCACTTAAACAACAATAACAACCTTTTTGTAATCCATATGTGGTAACCGTAGAAAGTTATTTACTATGAATAGAGGAAAAAACAGCTGGTGAGCTTGTGCCTTCTTCTGGAAGAGGAAAACTTTATGGGGCACTAAATCAGAATGAAGTATTTATCTCTGGTAACTTCCAAAGGAAATTGATCTAGTAGTCATGTAGTCCTGTGAGGAAAACTATATTTATAGTAAAGATATTGTGTATCTTGGGATGGAGGAGATAATGAGATGATGGTCATTTTTAAGACTCCCTGAATTTAAAAAAAAAAAAACCTCTAGGATAGGAAGCAAAAATTTTGGTAACTCTTGTTTGAGACAAAAGAGTACTAAAGTGTGTTGTTTATAGGGAGATTGGTGGAAGACGACTTATGGTAGAAACTCGACTTCCAAATGATCTGGCTGAGTTTGAAGGAGACTTTTCCTTGGAAGGACTTCGTCTGTGGAAAACAGCATTCTCAGCAATGACTCAGAATCCAAGACCAGGTTCACCCTTGCGCAATGGCCAAGCAATTGTTAATAAAGGGTCAAGCAATAGCCATAAAATGGTTGAAGATAAAAAAATTGTAATAATGCCTTGCAAATGTGCCCCAAGTCGACAGCTGGTTCAAGCATGGCTTCAAGCCAAAGAAGAATTTGAGCGTTCCAAGAAACTGCCTAAAGCTGAGCCAACTGGAGTTGTAAAATCTGCTGAGAGCTTCAGTTCTTCAGCTAATCCAGATGACAAACCTGTAGTGCCTCCGAAAATGGATATAGCACCACATATACTCCCCACTACAGCATATACCAAGGAAGATATTGATAATTCTCAGACTGCTTTACAAGAATCAACTACAGAATGCACTAAAACTATAAGTGAAATACAGCTGTTGCCACCAGTTGCTTCTGCAAATGATCTTGAGAAAGATGAAGATGATGATGGTGATTTTTATATTAGTTATAGTTCCCCTGATTCTCTAGTAATACCCCCTTGGCAACAACCAACATCCCCAGAGTCCAAAGCATTAAATGGAGATGAGAGAACTTCATCACCAATAGAGCTGTGTTCCTTGACTGTTGAGAACTTCTTAAAGCCAATAAAAGATGGAACACAGAAAAGCCCCTGCAATGAGCCTAGGGAGCCTCTAGTGATATCTCCAATTACTATTCGGACAAGAACTGGGAAATGTGAATCACTCTGCCTTCATAGCACACCAGTCATACCTAGAAAACATCTAGAAAGGCATCCTGAAGCAGCTGGTCTTACCCCTTTATCAACAGGTAAGTGTACAAATAACAAAGTTTCCCTCATTCTTTAAGGACTAAAAATACAAACTACATTAGACTATGTAATGAAAATCAGAGCTTTTTAAAAAATATATAGAAACAAAAAGCTTTGGCCTCAACTTTCTTCCTAGCTTCTACTCTTTTTCCCTCTCGCTTTCAAAGACAAATTTCTTAGTAGAATTCTGTAATTTGACAATTTCAGTTCTTTACCTCATACTTACTTATCCCCTAAACAAACGGTACTGCCATCAAGTTGATTCTGACTCATAGCAACCTTGTATAGGGTTTCCAAGACTAAATCTTTACAGGAGCAAACAGCTTCACCTTTCTCCTACGAAGCAGCTGGTGGACTTGAACCACTGACCTTGCAGATAGCATCCCACACGTACCCTCCCAGCACCATAAGGACTCCTTGGATTCTGCACCATTATTCCACTAGTATGGGTCTTAAAAAGATTTCCTGTAACCTTGTAGTGAAAATTAAATATCATTTTCAGTCATCCTATCATGTGCCCTCTAAGCAGCATCACCCTATTGACCAACACCTTCTCGGAGCTTCTCTCCCCTTGACTTTCTTCCTGTTCCTGTATCTCCTCCTTAGTTTCCCTTGAATTATATCCTACTGTTCTCAATTATTACCTAAATGTTGGAGTTCATTAAACCTGGCCTTAAGCTGCATTCACTTTTTACTGTATAGCCTCACCCTAATTTATCCAATTTGTGTTCTCAGGATTACAACAAATAATTCATAAGTTTATTATCCCCAGCTCAGACCTCTCTTTTGAGCTGCAGACTGCTATATCCAGATACCTATTTGGCATTTCTGCTTGAATGCTGAAAGGCACCTCAGGGTTAGTATTTGTAAAACTCAGTTTATGACCTCACTGCAGATCTCCCGACCCTAGCACATACACACATACTATGGCCTGCACAAAGAAGCCCATTTCACCCTCTGATCTCCCGACCCTAGCACATACACACATACTATGGCCTGCACAAAGAAGCCCATTTCACCCTCTTTTGGTTTTTATTTCAGAGAATAGTATCACCATCTCCCTTATCACTTAATTGTACAAGTGCGAAACATGTGATTCATTTTTAACATATGCCTCGCTGTCCATCCACCCTGTGGTTTCCAGTCCATTATCACGTTCTGTCACTTTCTATCTCCTTTTGTTGTTAAGTGCCATCGAGTCAGTTTCAGCCCACAGCGACCCTGTATAGGATTTCTTAGGAGCGACTGGTGAGCTTGAACCATTGACCCTACAGTTCAAGACTGACTGTGCAGTCCCGCACATTAACCCACAACACCACACCTGGACTCCTTTTATCTCCGAAATGACCCAAACCTATATGCTTTATTCTACCTCTATTGCCACAACCGTAGTCACTCACCTGGGCCCCTACTTTAGCCTTCTTATTCACTCCTAGCAGTCTCCATTTCTCTTGCACACTAGCCAAGGTGAATCCCCACCCCATTTCCAATTAATGACTCCTCTGTCTTCAGATTTTAGCCGAAGGAAGTCTTTTTTGATCTCCTTAATGAGATTTTTTAAATCTCTGAATTATATTTCCCTTTGTTGTGCTTACCCCAGTTAAAGTTTTATTTTTCTGTATGTATGCAATGAATGTCTGATTCTCTCTAGGCTCCATGAGGACAGAGATTGGGTCTTTTCCTCCTGCTCATAAATAGATGATAAATAAGTGAATATAATGATTGATTTCGTCAGGATAATTACTGAAAATACAACTTAGTAGTAATTAAAATCTAAACGTTAATTTAAGAAAATAAAATTTTTAGGTTATTTTGGTGGACTTAAAGGTTTGAGTTAGTTTCATTTTTAAATTATGAAATATGCAGAGAATTATAGAGTAATAGAATAGAGTAATATAAAACAATATACTTATTGTTTGTAACAACCAAAAGATTTTAAACAACAAAAAAACCCAGAAGCATGTAATTTTGATGTACATGTTAAATGTAAAATTTTTTTTTACAGAACCAAAAACCCAGAAATTGAATCATAAGAGAGGAGCTAATACTGACACCCTTAGAAGAGTCCTCTTAACAACACAAGCAAAGGTAACTACTAAATGTATTTAAAGATCAATGGAAGAGTCGTTCTTAATCTTAGTTTTCAGTTAGATAAATGAACTCAATTTAAAAATTTTATTATATTTTTGCATCATTTATTTACATATCTTTGAGACAACAAGAAATTGCCTAATTTTTTTTTAGGTTTTTTTTTTGTTGTTGGGATCTAAAAGATTCTTATATGTAAATACAAATGTTACAGAGAAAGTGAATATGATAGCCAAAATGTGGATTATGAGGATACAAATACATTAACTGATTACTGGCAAAATCAGAACAATCCAATGACAGCAGAGCTCAAGTAAGTGATTTTTGATCCCACCAAAAATATATCCTTTGTCTTGGTTTATTACTTTTTTCTCAAATATAACATTGATTTTTTTACTAAGTAGCAAAGGGAAACAACATTATTTACTACTGAATCTCTGATATACCATAAATGCCTATCCAAATATTAAAAATAAGACAAAATTTAGAAATGTGTGGTTACATGGAAAAGTATCCTTGGAAATATATGATGATAGAAATCACTTCCATATTGGCTGCTTATTAATACCATTCACTACCTAAAATATATCTTAGTATTTCTATTTTAAAACTGAATATTAAAGATAAACTTTCATTTACAAGCAGTATTGTTGAGTTATGAGCTGTATGTATTAAAAACAAGTATCAGTGAATTATGAACATAAATCAACACTGGGAAAAACAGCTTTTGCATTTAGAAGTCAGAAAAAATATTTTTTCTAAATGGAAGGACTCTACATTTTTAAATCTTTGACAGTTATTTACAATGATTAGTTTATCTTTCAAACTATATGTTAGGATATAATACAAATTCAGAATTTCATACTTTTATAAATGTTAGCAAAAGTAGTTGCAAATATATTGATTGCTTTCTCTTCATACATCCAAGAAAGGTCAAGATAAATGTTCATGTGCTATAAATGTCAACTTTTCTACATGACTATTATTTTCATTATTGTGGGTTTGTAAACTCAAATATCAATGTATGGTTTGTTTACAGTTTATATCATATATACAGTTCTGGTATACTGAATGATTAGCATGAAAAAGTTGTTAATACGGTTTCTTCTTGGAATTAAAGAGATACTAGTTTATCATTAATTATTAAACACAAAGCATGCTAAGTTGGAAAATTGGAAAAAAATAATCAGAAAATGGTTGCTTATTTGTTTTTTTCTGGCTATGTGTGTTTCTTTCAATAGAATCAGTTTGCAGCAGTAAAAACTCCAAAGAAAGAAACGTCTCAGATTGATGGACCATCTTTAAACAATACTTATGGTTTCAAAGTCAGCATACAAAACTTACAGGAGGCAAAAGCTTTACATGAGGTAAAAAATAAACAGTAAGGACATGTACTATGTTCAACTATTAGGTTTCATTCTGTAGAGAAAGTATGGAAAGCTTTAAATGAGGAATATATTGAGTTCTATTTGTTAATCTCTACTTTGTTCTTATTTTTTTTTACTATTCCACATACTTATAAAACAGCTAAAGACAATTTTTTAAATAAGAGCCATCAGTTACTGAGATTGCTATGTGACTACACAACCTTCTCAAATTGTATTACTGAAATTCAGTTTAAGGAAGCTAAACTTAGAAAAGATTTTCAAAGTATTGGAAAGTCTGTATACAGACAGTGTCCTGACTTATGACAGTTTCCATTCCAACCACTTTATCATAAATTGGTTCTGATGTAAGTTGAATACCTTTCTTCTTATCTGTTTTTGGGATTTGGCATGAGAATGATGACATCAGTAAATTTTAAATGAAAAGTGACTTACTGCAACATTGTATTTAGTTCCTATTACTATAAAATGCACACACACATACACCCAAAAAAGAATGGCCGTTAGTGCCGTTTGTTCTAATTTGAGTATATCATAAGTCAGAACTACCCATGTTGTTATTCTCTTTACCCAAATGTGATACTTACTTGTATTTTGTGTTTGGTTACCCCAGTGAATTAGAGCTTGTCACAAAAGAGGAATAGATTCACTCACATAATCTTTATATATCCCAGATACCTCACGCCACAGACCATATTGCCATAATGTACATATGCAAAAAAGTACATAAGCCACTATGGACTGAAGAGAATGTATAGATGAGTCGGTACAAATTCATATTACAGAATATGCAAATTTAAAGCACATATCTAACTGATAGTAACTTGGAATTCAGAGTATGTATTCATTGCTTTTATCTGGGCTGTTCAATAGTGAATAGCAACAAGGCTATTAAGAACTTTAAATTTGATGTATCCATCTGAGGAAATAAATTTTTATTTTACTTAAATTCAATTCCGTTTTTAAAATTTACTGGCTGAAGTTAATGAAAAACTTTTCAGTGAATTTGTGGCTCTCCTTATATTTCTGTTACACTGTAATGGTTTATACACTTGAGTTGTGCCTTTACTTGTGAATGGATTATTTATTTAATTTTGGTTCCAGGTAAGTTCTCTCAAACTGTTGAAGGATTGAATTAGCATGGACTAAAAAAAATTTTTTTAATTTTCATTATTTACCTCAAATTTGAACTGAGAATCACATTTTTTTAGTGAATAAGACTAAAATATAATCTAACTCCCTCACTGATTTATTTGTGCAGTTTTTTATTCAGCAGCATTCATTTAGTTCCTGTTTTATACCTGGTCCTATGCTAGCCTCTGAAGCTCAGAAAAATTAAGTAATAAACTTAGAAATACATATTTTATTAGAGCATGCCTGAAATATAAAAATTAGAAGGAATACTTTGTTTAAAAGTATTTATTAACAAAAATCAACCTTATAGATAGACCTTAGCAAAAAGATTTGTTAACTTTTTTTATTATTTTATTATTTGAAAAAGGTAAGCATTCTGATGCTAACTAAAGGATTCGCAACAGTTCGAACTCACCAGCTTCTCTTCAGGAGAAAGATGTGGTACTCTGCTTCTATATAGATCTGTTGTTGTTGTTGTTAGATGCCATCAAGTTGGTACCGACTCAAAGTGACCTTATACATAGCAGAATGAAACACTTCCCGGTCCTGGGCCAACCTCACTACTGTTGCCATGCTTGAGTCCATCAATGCTGCCACTTTACCAATCCATTTCGCTGGGGGTCTTCCTCTATTTCTCTGACCCTTCACCTTACCAAACATGACATCCTTCTCCAGTGACTGGTCCCTCCTGACAATATGTCCGAAGTATGAGAGACGAAATTTGGCCATCCAGGCCTCCAAGGAGCACTCTGGCTGTACTTTTTCCAACACAGATCTGTTGGTTCTTTTGGCAGTCCATGGCACTTTCAGTATTCTCTTCCAACACCATAATTCAAAAGTATCAATTCTTCTACAGTCTTCCTTATTCACTGTCCAACTTTCGCATGCGTATGACACTACTGAAAATACCATGGTTTGGGTCAGGCACACCTAAGTCTTCAAGCTGACACATTTGCTCTTCAACACTTTAAAAAGATTTTGTGCAGCAGATTTCCTAATGCAGTATGTTGTTTGATTTTTTTGACTGCTGCTTCCATAAGTGTTGATGGTTGATCCAAGAAGAAAAGTCCTTGACAACTTCAATCTTTACTCCGTGGATAAGAATGTTGTTTATTGGTCAAGTGGTGAGGATTTTCTTTTTCTTTACATTGAGATGTAATCCACACTGAAGGCTGTGCTCTTTGATCTTCATCAATAAATATTTTAAGTCCTCTTCACTTTGAGCAAGCAAGATGTATCATATGCCTATCGCATAGATCTACAGCCCTAGAAACCTTCTGAAGCAGTTCTACTCTGTCCTGTGGCATTGCTATGACTCTACGGCAGCATGATTGTTTTCTGTTGCTTATTTTGGTTTTCTATGACTTTAGTCAACATAGCCCCTTTTAGAGTGTTAGGCCCTCTTTATGTTAAAATCAATCAGATCTCGCTGGTTGTTATTTTTTCCTCCTGACATTGGCATTGTTCTTCTCAAAAAGCATCCCAAACAGCCACCTGGTGGTTAAAGCAGCAAATGGACCCTAAAACATATGTACACTATACTCTGTTCATTTGGATCGAGTAAATTGTGCCCAGACATGGTTTTGCTTTATTTTTCATTACAAATGGATAATCTGTCTTCCTTCTACAAACAAATATTCAATGCAGAAGATACTATTATTTGATGCAGGGTGAGTGTGACTCTTGGCTACCCCATCTGCGCAGAGTAGAACTGCTCCATGGCATTTTTAATGATGTGACTCTTCAGAAGCCGATCACCCCAGGTATCGTTAAGTGGATTTGAACCTCCAATCTTTTGTCTTGTTAGTTGAGTGCTTAAGAGTTTGCACCACGCAAGGAGCCTTTTACAGAAAATAAGGGTTGTTCTTGCTCCCTTTCTCATCTTCCTCTTGCCTAATTGCATTCAGTAAATATTTTTTTCCATCTGTGTAGTCCATTTGTTTGCTGCGGATAAAAAGTCCCTAAAAGACTCATGCATTTTCCAAGGAATAAAATCATTGCTGTCGAGTTAATTCTGACATATATAGTGACCCTACAGGACAAAGTAGAACTTCCCATAGGGTTTCCAAGGCTGTAATCTTTACGGAAGCCAACTGACAAATCTTTCTCCCAGGAAGCAACTGGTAGGTTCAAACTGCCGAACTTTACCTTTACAGCTAAACTGTTACCCACTGCGCCACAAGGGCTCCTTATTGAGGATTTGAAAGGTACAATACTAACCTCCGTGATTCTTTTATTCTGAAGCTTTTTATTTTTAATCGTTCACAATTCTTTCTGTAGTTTCTCCACATTTTTTTTTTAATTAAAATAATATTATATTTTGCTTTGTTTGGGTTTGAGGTAGAGATGTTTTGTTTTTACTAAATTATTCAGGCTTTTTGTAAAAAGAAATGTAAACATTTTGAAATAAAAAGTCTTTCCTTTGGCTCTGTAGTGGTTACAAGTCGGGCTTCTAACCTTAAAATCATTAGTTTGAAACTACCAGCTATTCCTCAGGAGAAAGATGACGCTTTCTGTGCCCATAAACATTTACAGCCTTGGAAACCCTATGTAAGGTCACTATGAGTAGGATCCAACTCCATGGCACACAACCACCATGCCTTACATGGAATCCTGGTGTGGTGCTTTAGGATAAGCACTGGACTGATAACCACAAAGTTGACAGTTCAAACCACCATTCATTTTGGAAACCCTATACGGGGCCCCTATAAGTCAGAATCAAATCAAAGGCACTTAACAACAACAGACCTTACATATGCAGTGCATAATTAATGTTCTTTATATTTTAAAAGTCCTGGTGTGTTGCTGTAGGTTAATGTGCTAGATTGCAAAGTTGGTTTGAAACACAAGGTTAGAGTATCAAGTTCACCAGCTGCTCCTTGAAAACCCTATATACGGTCTCTATGAGATGGAACCTACTGAACTGTGCTTAACAACAACAGCATATTTTAAAATAATTACACATATGCATGATGTGAGTGTGGTGACTACATATGATAAGCACTGGACTGCGACCCCATGGTTGGCATTTCAAGCCTACCAATCGTTCTGTGGGAGAATGATACGACTTTCTACTCCCACAAAGATTTACAAGCTTTGTAAACCTTATATGTTGTTAAATGCCATTGGTTCTGACCTGTAACAACCTGGTGTAGGGTTTCCAACTTAAACTTAAATTGCTGACCTTGAAGTCCAGTGCATTAACCCACATATAGTGTCCCTATGAGTCGGAACTGACTTCAGATTTGTAATGATTTTTTTTCTATCTCCCATTCTCCATCCTCATAGTCTACAGCAGTTCCTTTAATATGTATACATATATTTTATATGCATGTATTCCATTTTTTACTATCAGTCATTCCACTTTCCACCATTTGTAGTACTGTGGAGGCTTGTGTGTAGCTGTGATGCTGGAAGATATCCATCGGTATTTTAAATACCAGTATGGTCACTCATGGTGTACAGATTCCAGTTAAGCTTCCAGACAAATTGAAGAGGAATGGCATAGCATTAATCATCAAAAAGAAGATTTCAAGATCTAAAAGTATAATGCTGTCTGTGATAGAATAATAGCCAAATGCCTACAAGGAAGACTGGGTATACCACTATTATTCAGATTTATGCACCAACCACTAAAGCCAGTAATGATGGAATTGAAGAATTCTACCAACTTCCTTAGTCTGAAATTAACCAAACATGCAATCAAGATGTATTGATAATTACTGATAATTGGATTGCAAAGTTGGCAACAAAGAGGAAGGACCCTCTCAGAAAATACAGCCTTGGTGATAAAAAATAATGCTGGACGAAGATCATATAGCAGAATTTTTCAAGACCGATGGCTTATTCATTGCAAATAACTTTTTAAAAAATAACATAAAAGGTGACTTTACACATGGGCCTCATCAAATAGAATGCACAGACGTCAAATTGACTACATCTGTGGGAAGAGATGGTGGAAAAGCTCCATATCAGCCAAAACAAGACCAGGGACAAACTGTGGAACAGATCATCAACTGCTCATATGCAAGTTCAGGCTGAAGCTGAAGAAAATTACAAGTCCACAAGAACCAAAATATGACCTTGAATATATTGCACCTGAATTCATACATCTTCACAAGAACAGATTTGATGCAGTTGGCACTAATGACCAAAAACCAGAAGAGTTGTGGGATAACATCAAGAACATCCTACAGGAAAAAAGCAAAGAGTCATTAAAAGAGAAGAAAGAAGGAAAAGACCAAAATGTATGTTTTAAGAGACTCTGAAACTTGTTCTTCAGTGTAGAGATGCTAAAGCAAATGGAAGAAATGAGAAAGAAAAAGAGCTGAACAGTAAATTGTGAAGGGCAGCTCAGGAAGACATAATTAAGTATTATAATGAAATGGGCAAAGACCTGAAGTTAGAAAACCAAAAGGAAAGAACACACACAGCATTTTTCAAGCTGACCAAAAAATTCAAGCCTCAACTTGCAGTATTGACAGATACTATGGGCAAAATGGATTCCTGGTGTCCAAACCAGGACTGAACCACAAAGTCAGTTTGAATTGCAAAGTTGGTGGTTCAAGCTGATCAGCCAATTCTGGATGCAGATGAGGACTTGGAATGAAGGGATATCGTTGCTAACATCAGATGGATCTTGGCTGAAAGTAGACAATACCAGAAAGATGTTTACCTATGCTTTATTGCCTATGTGAAGACTTGTGACTGTGTGGATCATGACACGCTATGGAAAACACTGAAAAGAATGGGTATTCCAGAACACTGAATATTATGCTCATGAGGAACCTGAACATAGACCAAAGGGCAGTTGTTCCGACAGAACAGGGAGCCACTGAATGGTTTAAAACCAGGAAAGGTGTGTGTCAGGGTTGTATTCTTTCATCATACTTAATTCAATCTGTATGTTAAGCAAATAATCCGAGAAGGTCGGAGAGTGTGGCATCAGGATTGGAGGAAGACTCATTAACAACCTATGATATGCCGATGATACAACCTTGCTTGCTGAAAGTGAAGACTTCACTGGATCAAGATCAAAGACCACTGCCATCATTATGGATTACACCTCAATATAAAGAATACAAAAATCCTCACCACTGAACGAATAAGTAGCATCATGATAAATGAAGGAAAGATTGAAATTATCAAAGACTTTGTTTTGCTTGGATTCACTGTCAACACTCATGTAAACAGCAGTCGAGAAACCAAACGACATATTACATTGGGCAACTGTGCTGCACAACACCTCTTTAAAGTGTTGAAAAGCAAAGACGTCAGTTTGAGGACTCGGGTGCACCTGACCCCAGCCTTGGTATTTTCAGCAGCCTCATGTGCATGTGTAAGTTTGAAAATAAATAAGGAAGATGGGAAAATAATTTATGCATTTGAGTTACGGTATAGAAGAATATTAAAAGTACCAGGGACTGCCAGAAGAACAAACAAATCCTTAGAAGCCAAGATGATGAGACTACTTCTTAGACATGTTATCAGGAGGGATCAGTCCCTGGAGAAGGATATCATGCTTGGTGAAGTGGTGGTCAGGAAAAAGAAGAAATCCCCTATTGAGGTTGGCACAGTGGCGGTAGCAATGGCCTCAAGCATACCAATTGTGAGGATGGCAGAAGACCTGACAGTGTTGTGCACAGGGTCCCTTTGATTCTGAACTGACTCAACTGTACCTAACAACAACAAAGTTCTACTTATCAGTGTATTATGGTGATCTTTTAACATTAGGGTACATATTTAGCTTGCTCTTTTGAGTATTTAAACATATGTAATCTATGGTTGCTATGAGTTGGAACTGACTTACCTGTACTTAAAAACAATAATGACAGTCTTTATGAATGCCACATAATTTAATCAGTCCCCATCTGATAGACATTGAGTTTTTTTCCATTCTCTTGCTATTACAATCTTCAGTGAACAATTATTATGCATATATTTTGCCTACATAGATGAATATATCTGTAGATTAAATTATAAGGAGTAGAGTGGTTAGGTCAGAGGATATGTCCATTTTTAATTTTGGTGTTTGTTGTTATGTGCTGTGGAGTAGGTTCTAACTCATAGCAGCCCTTTATATAGTTTCCAAGGAGCCTCTGGTGGGTGCGAGCCACTGATTTTGTGTTTAGTAGTCCCTTGCTTATTTTATTGCTGGGTATATGTACATGATAAAATTATGAGCTGTAATTTTATATTTATTCATGGACTTTTGTGGCCCATCCTATATTTTGTTTGTCTTCTGAGAGTTTCCATTGACGCTCTTTTGATTTTAGAAAGAGGATGAAAGGACTGGAGTTACACAGAGTTTTTATTAGTGTAGGAAAGAAAGTATGAAAAGCAGAACATTACATTTTTTTGCAGTAATTTCAGTGAGAAAATGTGCATAGGCACAAATCCAGCTATTATGTAATTCATATATCAGAAACATCTATAACTGAAATCTGCATAATACATTCAAAGGTCTGAATTTAACTTGCCCTCGTGTAGTAATTAATAGATAGGAACTCTAAGTTAAAAAAATATCTCTTACGTTAAAACTGTAGTTATTTGATTAAGAAGTAAAAAGTAACACTTCGGTTTGTATGTACAACCCCATACTTGCACTAGTAATTCTCAAACAGAAATTGAGAGAAAAATAGTTTTAAGAATGTATTTAGATTCTTATTTCCTCTTACAGATTCAAAATCTTACTCTAATCAGTGTGGAGTTACATGCTCGTACTAGACGAGACTTAGAACCAGATCCTGAATTTGACCCCATCTGTGCTTTGTTCTACTGCATCTCATCTGACACTCCACTGCCAGATACAGACAAAACAGAACTCACAGGTGTGATCGTGATTGATAAAGACAAGACCATCTCCAATCAAGGTATCGTTCATTTGTATTAACTATCAGCCTGCTTACCATACCACGAACTTTTTTTTAACAGAGGAAATCTCTCTATACGGAGATGTAAACCAAGCAAGAAAAGGATCTCCTCTCCAAAATGTTTGTTGAGAGGGGAGTAGAAAGCATTGTGTTTAACTTTGTCCTAGATTAATTACTCTTCCTTAAGTTATGGTCGAATGTTAGAAGCAAGACATATAAGATCTTAGTAAGATTTCTGACTAGCAACTAATTCTAAAAAGTATTTGATAAAATACCAATTGGGAATATGTAGTCCCAAGCACTATGTAATTTGTATATCGGGTACACACTCTTCCTCATCAATTCATGTGCTGGCATTTTTCTGCAGATACAATGTTCCATTTTGCTTTAGGACGTTGATTTACTACTCTGAGAAATTTAGTGTTTTATGAGTTGTTATCTGCTGTCCAGTCCATTCTGACTCATGGTGTCCCAGGAGCAGCTGGGTGGGTTTGAACCACCGACCTTGCAGTTAGCTATAGTACTTAACCTACAGTGCCACACCAGGATTCTAATGGTTTATATAGAGACTTCTAAGATAATACTCTAAGGAGCTCTGGTAGCGTAGTGGTTACGAATCGGGCTGCAAACCTTACGGTCAGCAGTTTGAAACTACCAGCTGTTCCGCAGGAGAAAGATGAGGCTTTCTGCTCCCATAAAGATTTACAGCCTCGGAAACCCTGTACAGGGTCGCTATGATCTCTTTCTAAATGTCTATTATACTCTTGGTTAAAGTTCTTCAGAGCTTTAAAAATTTTGTAGGAGATTTTGTAAAGCATCAAAATGTCCTTCTGCAATTTTAAAATAGTATCCATTATAAGTGAATTCAGTCAATTTAGGAGGAACACTTGGAATAGAACAAAACCATATAGCTAGGGATTTGCCATTTAAGCAGAGGTGTGTATGAGCTGGTTTGTACTGGCTCACCTGTATGGGAGATGAATCTTTTACATCTCTTCAGGAGTGTAACTAAGAGCTGATGGTCAAACATTTTCCAGCATACCATTGATCTAATTATTCTCTACCAAAAATATTATTCCTGTCTAAGGATCCTTGGTGGCACAATGGTTAAACACTGGACTTCTAACCTAAAGATCAGCAGTTTGAACCACCAACTACTCCTCAGGAGAAAGATGTGGGTATCTGCTTCTATAAAATTACAGCCTTGGAAACCCTATGGGTCATTTCTATTTGTTTGCTATAGGGTCACTATGATTTGGAATCAACTCAACAATGAGTGGTTTTGTACTAAGTGAAGACAGAGGTTATGAAGCTTCTTTGTGGATTATTCGTAAATATCTGGGGAATTTTATAAATACAGATTTTTCAGGAAAATAACAAAATAAGAAATGAATTATGAATATTAAACTACAAAACCTAAAAAAGAGTTTAAAGAAATTCGATTAATTATGTTTATACTTGGGGGGGGGGATACTTCCTTAATATGAAGTATTTCAGTAGCATGATATCACTCAAACATAACAAATAATACTACTTACACTGTCCTATCTAATAAACATTTTATTTCTCAGATATCAGATATCAGGCTCCTTTCCTTATAAGATCTGGAATTACAGGACTAGAAGTTACCTATGCTGCTGATGAGAAGGCACTTTTTCAAGAAATTACAACTATAATTAAGAGGTATTGTTTTGTATTTTCTGACTTTTCTGGTTTTTTTATTCAGTGAATTCTTTTGTGGTGTTGCAGATGAAGGTGGAAGGAGAATTCCTGTGCCCCTTGAAAATAGTCTTCTTTAGAAAGAAGATTTTGCCCCAAACTCCTCCACCATTTGTATCAAATGGTTGCTGGTTGTTATCAGATTGATTTTGACTCATAGAGACTCTGTAGGACACATAGAACTGTCTCAGATTCTCAAAAAACAAAACCTCACTGCCATCAAGTCAGTTCTGTAGGAAAACAATATCCTCAAGGCTTAAGAACCAGTTGGATTTTAGAATGATTTTTTTTTTTTTTATGGTGGTGAAATTAAGATGCTTTGGTGGTGCAGTAATTAAAGTGTTCAGCTGCTAACTGAAAGTTTGACAATTAGAGCCCACCTAGCGAACTTCTCTTGTAAGATTACAGCCTCATTTACACCCTGTGTGACTGGTTCTGTGAGTAGGAATTGACTCTAGGACAGACAAAACACAACATGCCAAAGTTGAATTACTGATTAAGTAGACTTGGGGGCCAGGCACCACAATAATGCTTTTTTTTTTTTTCCTTTATCAAAATGCCTTCTAAGATCTAAATAAGCCTTAGAATACCAGTCTGTCTGTTCATAATTTTTGGACTTCATGGCATGTACTATCTTGTGCCTTTAGTCCCTTAAAAAAAAAAAGAAAGAAAGAAAACTCTGACTCATTTGATGGTTAATAGTAGATTCTTGTCAGTTAATAAACATTATTTTTTAAAACAAGAGTGTGACTGACTCTTGATAGCTAGGAGCTCTCTTACGAAGTGTTGTACTTATGTAGGAACTGAAGGGTTTGCCCATTGCTTAGTATAGATTTTTAAACACCGTACATAACCTGGGCTGACCTCTCTGTCTTGAGGTTAACTGGCAAAGCAGATGCCTCAAAAGTCACAGTTTTGATTGTACCTATCTTTTTGAAGACATCCTAATGGGAAACAAAGACAAGTGTCTGAGAGAACTGGTCTGCAGCCATCCACTGATCATAAAGATATGCTTAAACACATTTTGTTTGGAAAAACCCGCACATGTATGAATGGAATCCTGATAGCAATACTTTTTTCTCTTAGCCTCATGTATTCGATCACCTATTATGTGTGTGGGACTGTTCTGGATACTGAAATATTAAGAAGAATAAGACATTGTCCTTGCGCTGTAGGAGCTAATACTATAGTGAGAGAGTTGATAGTAAAAGAATAACTGGGAGTTGTTCAGGTAAATAAGGCTTGGTAGAGTGAGAGAAGATTCTTTCAACTAACCTTAGCAATGGAAAACAGTGGGACCAACTTGGAAAACTCCTCAGTAGTCTAATATACTTGAAGTATAAATACAGTTGAGGGATTTAGATAATACAGATAGTATCTTAGATATTTAGTGCTGCTATCACAGAAATACCACAAGTAGATGACTTTAAAAATAGAGGTTTATTCTTTCACAATTTAGGAGGCTAGAAGTACAAATTCAGGGTGTCAGCTATAGGGAAAGGTTTCTCTTTCTGTGAGAAGGATCTTGCCTCCTTTCAACCTCTCTAAGCTCAATGCCCTTTGAGACTCTCCAAGTGTCTTGGTATCAGTTTTCCCCTGGGTCTAGGAGATTCTCAACACAGGTATTGTTGTTGTTAGTTGCCATCGAGTCGGTACCGACTCATGCGACCTTATGAACAGCAGAACAGAACACTACCCGATCCTGGGCCAACCTCACTACTGTTGGCCACGCTTGAGTCCACCGATGCTGCCACTTAGCCAATCTATGTCGTTGGGGGTCTTCCTCTTTTTCTCTGACCCTCCACCTTACCAAACTTGATATCCTTCTCCAGCGACTGGTCCCTCCTGACTAGATGTCCTAAGTATCAGAGACAAAGTTTGGTCATCTTGGCCTCTAAGGAGCACTCTGGCTGTACTTCTTCCAAAACGGTTCTATTGATTCTTTTGGCAACCCATGGCACTTTCAATATTCTCCTCCAACACCATAACTCAAATGCATCAGTTCTTCTATGGTCTTCCTTATTCACTGTCCAATTTTCACATGCATATGAGGTTTTGGAAAATACCATGGCTTGAGTCAGGCACACCTTAGTCCTCAAACAGACGTCTTTGGTCTTCAACACTTTAAAAAGGTCTTATATAGCAGATTTGTCTAGTGCAATACATCATTTGATTTCTTGACTGCTGCTTCCATGAGTGTTGATAATTGATCCAAGCTAAATGAAGTCTTTGACAACTTCTGTCTTCTCTCCATTGATAAAAATGTTGTTTATTGGTCCAGTGGTGAGAATTTTATTTTCTTTACATTGAGATGCAGTCCATATGGAAGGCCATAGCCTTTGATCTTCATCAGTAATTAGGTTGTATCATCTTCATATTGCAGGTTGTTAATGAGGTTTCCTCCAATCCTGATGCCATGTTTCTCTTCATATAACCCAGCTTCTTGGATTATTTGCTCAGCATACAGGTTGAATAAGTATTTTGAAAGAATACCACCATGTTGCACACCTTTCCTAATTTGAAACCCTTGGTGTTCCCTTGTTCTGTTCGAACAACTGCTTTTTGGTCTATGTACAGGTTCCTAATGAGCATAATTAAGCATTCTAGAATACTCACACGGCGCAGTTATTGTCCATAGCTTGTCATGATCCACAAAGTCAAAAGCCTTTGCGTAGTCTGTATAGAACAGGTAAACATCTTTCTGGTATTCTCTGCTTTCAGTCAAGATCCATGTGAAGTCAGCAATGATGTCCCTCGTTCCACGTCCTCTTCTGAATCAGGCTTGGATTTCTGAAAGTTCTCTCTCAATGTATGGTTGCAGCCATTTCTATATTACCTTTAGTAAAACTTTACTCATATGGGATATCAATGCTGTTGTCCAGTGATTTTTGCATTCCATTGGATCACCTCTCTTTGGAATGGGCACAGAAACGGATCTCTTCTAAACAGTTGTCCACATAGTTGTCTTCCAAATTTTTTGGCATAGATGAGTGAGTGCCTCCAGTGCCACCTCACATTGTTGAAAGATTTCAGTTTGTATTCCATCAACTCCTGGTGCCTTGTTCTTTGCCAATGCCTTCAGTGCATTGTGGGGCTTCTGCCTTCAGAATCATTGGCTCTTGATCATATGCTTCTTCTTGAAATGGTTGAGTATCAACCATTTCCTTTTGATACAGTGTCTCTGTATATTCCTTCCATCTTCTTTTGATGCTTTCTGCATCATTCAATAATTTGCCCAGAGAATCCTTCAGTAACACAAGTCGAGGCTTGAATTTTTTCTTCATGTCCTTCAGCTTGAGAAATGCTGAGTGAGTTCTTCCCATATGATTTTCTAATTCTGTGATTAACATCATAGAGGTTAGGATTTACAACACATCTGATAATTACATCAGATCATAAAATGGAGGGTAATTACATAATACTTAGAATCATGACCTAGCCACGTTGACACATATTTTAGGGGGACAAAAATCAAACCAAAAAAAAAAAGTAAAAGGTAAGCATGAGAGCTATATTGTGAAGGAATGGTTTTTTAACCTGCATCAAGAACCTAAACTATGCTGCTCTCAAGTCATAAATGATTCTACCACCAATAAAATTAGTGGAGGTGGGCCTGCAAATCATGTTTTTTTGATTCTTGGTTTATAATCTAGTTCAGTAAGTTTTGCTCCCTTTTGATATTTTTTTCAAAATGCAAGGGGGCAAAGCAGATCTAAAATTCAAGGAAGATAAGTGAATGATCATATACTCCAAGTAACAATAGTTACTATCTCAGAAGGCTGTGAAGGTTAAAAACACATGACCAGCTTTTTTTTCATCTATGATTACTCTCTTTGGATTTTTTTTAACATATCTAGACATAATATCATTATATTCATCTACAAATATTTAAGTATGTATCTTTAAAAGATATGAACTCTTTTTTAACCTAATCATATAATCTTAGTCTCAAACTGTTGTTGTTAAGTTCTGACTCCTTGTATAGAATTTCCAAGGAGTAGCTGGTGGGTTTGAACTACTGACCTTGTGGTTAGCAGTCCAGTGCTTATCCTTCAGCACCCCACCAGGACTTAAGTATCAGACCTATAAAGGTAATACTTTCTTAATATCAAGTATCCAGTCAGTATTTACATTCCAAATGGAGGTTTAAAATGTTGGTTACATTTTTAAAAGGAATTTTAGCAAGATCCCTGTGCACTGAAGGATAGGTTTTTTAAAACTCTTCCTGCTTTGTCTTCCAACAAAATACCCAGCACCATGGTACATTTTTGTTGAGACAAACTTTTATCAACTCTCCCATTAAGCTAAACTCTTCATAGAGTAGTCATGGGTAGATTGTTATATACCAAGTACATTCCTGTAACTGTAATGGCTAAATGTAAGAAACTGGGGCAGAAGTCTCAGGTATGTCTAAGGATCAATGAAGATCTGAGATTTGAAGCTTTTCCGTGCATGCAGAAAAGAACCCATGAAGTTGACAGCTCTGTGCTAAGTTTTACTCAGGACAGACATTACATTATGACCACAGGTGAACTTAAGTGTTCCTATCACATGTAGTTTCTAAACCGACGTGCAACATAAAGAAGATACCAGGTGATTACAGAGGCAATCCATTAATAACTTATAAAGATAGTTATGATTCTTACATCAGAATTTCTCTGATGCTAGTTCATCAAATACCTTTTTATTGGAAAAATTATTATTACAGTCAATTACTTGTGCTGTTGTGTCATCTGACTAATTGTACTGGTTAATTACACTCATTTGTTTGTTTTTAAAAAAAACACAAGTTTTTTCTGAATTAAAAAGTCTGTTTTTCAGGCCGAAAATTAAAGCCTGAGGTACAGCATAACAACCAACAGTGGTATCTTGAAATCTCTCAGGCAGCTTTGAAAGCAAAAAGTTGAAGAGTGGACATTAAAGTAATACTTACTCATATTAGGCTACAGAAAAAAATTTCTTTC